GGTATAGCGGTATACGCGATGTGTGTACATATATATATTTTTTTTTCTCCTTCATCAGAAACTGCGCTCTGCTATCGAGTACGAAAAAAGCACAACATAAGCGCATCGATAAAAAAAAAAATATTTCACGGGGTTTTGATACGCGCGCTTTAAGCATTCTCTTTTCTCCGAGGAAAACAGTTTTTGTTTATGGAGATTTCGTTTAACGCGCTGGAAAATGTCGGAAAATTGTCAAAGTATTAAACGAGGTATTAAAGTATTAAACAAAGTGGAAAAAAATTAAGCTGCAAAAAAAATTGAACTAATGCATTGGCGGAAGGCTTTTCCGAATATTGTTTGTTAGCTGGGCAACGATCGAGTATGCGAGTCTCCGGGCACAATCCTGATGTTTTTATTATTCCAATATCAAACTCTTCTTCTTCTCCAAGAGAATAATAAAATAATTTCAGAGCTGATTAATAAATTTAATTTCGAGAAGAAACGAAAATTTTCTCATCGTTGTTGCATTTATTACCGAATAATATCTATAACATACGTGTTATTACACGCGTGTGAAACTATCGTGGAAATATAATTTGCTGCAAAATCAGAGTACGATAAAGGGAAAGAACGAATTGCAAAAGAAAGAACGATTTCGATAACAATGGGAGAGCTGATGCAGAGTCGTTTCGACGCGCGAAAACCATCCATCGGAAATAGATCGCGGAGAGATATCGCGCTTATGTTTGCCCGTCTCTCTTTCTCTCTCTCTGCGATCCTCTTGCCGATCATCTCGGTTCATCCTCTCCCGACGCGGATGAGGATGCTATTTATAAGCGGCAGCGGCGCCGGTTCCACGAGAGGGTTCCACGAACGGATTCGCGAGCGAACCTATTCGGACTCTCTTCTGTGTGTTCCCTTGTTTCTATCTCCCCGCGCAAAGTCGCGCGGATCCGTAACGAGAAACACTCCAGCTGCTGTGCTGCCGCTGGTGCTGGGAAATTTCTTGCTCGAACATAGACACGTCGAGATTACGTGTATACCAGACGCGTATTATTTCGGCATCTCTCGAGGGAAACGTGACGGTTCTATCCTTGACGCGGTGGAAATAACAAAGAAAAGAAAAATAAAAACGCATTTTGACAGTCAAAATATGAATTGAAAAATTGAGTGAGGAAAAGATCTTAATTTTTTGTCGGCAAAAATTATCAAAAGACGACTTTGATTATATCAACGGAATTACTGCAAGATCGCGATTATACTTGGCTCGACGGACAACGAGGCTACATTTTTTTCTCGCGGGACGAATTCCCGAGATGATCGTGCAACCACTCGACGAGAGGCGAGTCGGTCGGAATAATCCCGGTGTTTCCCGCTAATTGATTTCCCCCTCGTCCATCGCGGAATCGCGTCCTCGAGATGATGACACGACTCCGGTGTGCTCGAAACGTCGGGTGAAAGCAAACGCTCGCGAGGAACAATGAGTCGTGAGTCGTCGGCGAATGGAGCATTTATACGCTCGCAATTTATCCGGGGGCGCGCAGTTTGCGCGAGGGATCGATCCTCGAGTGCGAAACAAAGCCGGTGCATGAGACAATCCCGGCATAGGAACCAAGAGGATCGATCGATTTGTGCCGTAGGATCGTTTTCGGTTCGTATCTCCTCCCCGGAGGGAAGGCGAGAGGGAACAAACTGCATGCTCGTGTAATTAGTCCCCCCACGTGAATCGCGAACACACGTCGAACAATCGCGCAGAAAGAGCCATTTATATAGCTTGTAACTATTCTCGAGTGCTTTTGGCGTTAAATTCAGCTCTGCTTTCGTGTCCTTTCAAGTTATTTATATATGATATATGTATATAAAGGGTTCGTATTCTCGTCACAAACTTGCGAAATTTAACCATCTAATTTCGAGCGATCTCGCGATGAATATACTCGGATATTCGTTATAAATAACGAATCTAAAAAAAAAAAAAAAAAAAAAAATGTCCGGACAGCGTTGAAAATTCGTTTCGCGCACGAGAGCGACGTAATTCGCATTTTCAGGTAAACGCGCGATGAACGACTTTACACAGAGCGTTTCTCTCTCCAGGAAACGAGAAAAGTAGATTAGACTCGGGCCGAATTGTGCGCGATTCTATTTGGCAAAGCGAAATGACAGAAGAGGCCCCGAAGTCTCTTTGTCGGAATTCGACGTACTAAATCGATACCGTATAGTCTATTCGCAATTGCAATTCCATGGATCCTTTTAGCGAGACAGAGTGCGAATCTCCGTTGGCCGGTTACGAGGAGCGCGTTCTCCTGGCGGACGATTTTCGCCGGAATAGAGGGAAGCTTGTCGAGGAGAGGATTCACGACGGAACCGTTTGGGCAACTATCCCTCCCCCGCACCCCCTTCCTTCCTCCTTTAACGACTGTGCTGCTCATTGTCGACATTGTCTTAACGGTTTTAAAACCCGAGCTCGTCCTTCCTCGCCGCGTATCCACAAAGGCTTTATAAAGCCTTCTCTCCTCGAGAAGCGTCTTTCATTCGTCTCGCGGCTTTTCCGAAGTTGGGAGATTATTTTCACGGGAGAGTAAAACAGCGCATTTGCGCGTCAATATCATCGTTGTTGTCTTCTCGTGAATCGGTTGTGAGTCTAATCGAATTTTTCTGGCTGATTCGACCGTAAACGGAATTAAGGAGGGGCTCCGTCGTGGTCCATCTATCACGTGGTATCTAATCACGATGTTCGTGGCTGTAGTCTCGGTACATATCGGTTTTTCACGTTATCGATACGTACGTGTCGATACCCTAAAGCCAGATTGATCAATACCAGTTTATACAACTTATCTCGGAAAGATAAACGAAAGGAAGAAGTCGAACAAGAAGAGATTCAACTGCCAACGTGATAGATTCGCACTTCCGTTAGATTTTTCTTTTTTTCTTTCAAAACAAAATGTTATTGGACAGTCTGGCTCCAAGATATCGAGATTCTAACTGACATTTACTAGATCTGCAAACGCACAAATATTCATGATACGGCCACGTGCGCTTCAATCTCGATACAAGTTACAAACGTCAATAGGTATTTCGGGTGCTATAACATTATCGTCGATCGGATAATGTTATTCGATATAATCGGTGATTAATATAGATCGGAATATTCTTACGCTACATTCGTCTATGTTATATGGTCCATCTCCACTTTAGAATCGTGTCGAATTTTTATGACAGAATTTTTACGAACAAGTGGAATCGATCTTTCATTAGCGCAAATTTAATCGCGGCCAATTTTCTAATATTTTCAGAATTAAATATCTCGTGTACGCGCGATTGCTTTGCTCGAAATAAGATCTCTGCTAAAATCGAGCTTACTCAAAATAAAGTAGCTCTCTCTCTCGAAGCTAATTTTATCAATTTGTTCCAATTTGCAGGATATATCGAAAATAACGATTAGTTTTAAATTCTCGTTACGAAAAATCGATCTCGGATATGCTAGAAAAGAATTTGTCATCAAAATTCTATGCACCGTTCGCTGTATCCGACGTCGAGGAATTCGCGAACTCTCAAGTTCTCCACGTTCGCTGTCGAAACGGGAAGAACATGTCGTGTGTGGAATGGGAACACCGCCGAATGGAACTCGGCGCGACGCATCGCTAAGTTAAAAAAAAAAGAAAAAGAGGAAGAGAGGGGTGGGGGACGGGAAAAGGGGATGGTAACGATAACAAAGCGCATGCCATGCGTTGTGGGCTAATATCTAGGAACCCAGGCATTTGCGAAGACAGACAATAAAAGGGACGTGAAAAGATACGGGTCGAAGACCTCGTCACATCGAGATCGATCGTCGATGTTTTTCGCGCGAGCCTCAAGGGAGGCGGTCAATTGCGTATGTATTGCGTGTGTATTGCGTATATATGTGTGTGTATTGTACGTGTATGTATGTGGCTACAGGCACTTGAGGTAAAAGAGACCGCCCGCGTTCCGGATACGACCAGGCCTTCGAGATCGAACCGCGCTCCTTTTGTAGTCTCTTATCCAGGGATCGAAACGGCATATAATTCCGCCGAGTTCAATTTTCGACACGAAAGGATACGGGAGAGTGTACTTTGCAATTTTAAGTTCATTGATCGGAATAATTATGATATATTTTGATAGATGAACGAACGAATGGAAGAAACTCAGCATTTGTAATAATCAATGAAAGCTATGACATTAAGTTCATTGATCGGAATAATTATGATATATTTTGATAGATGAACGAACGAATGGAAGAAACTCAGCATTTGTAATAATCAATGAAAGCTATGATTCTAAATGATTTTTAATCATTTTCTGATGCTGTTATTATTTTTTAAATTATTATTCATTATATAAAAAAAATACTGCAATGTATATTAAAATACTGTAATGTATATTACAAGATACTTAATTGCTATATTTAAATAAGCAATCTTTATCCAACTCTGCTCCAATTTTACTTCACGTTGGAAATAACATTTGTCTCTCGCATCGAAATTTGAACTCGTCGAAATTAGATCGCTCTCGATTCCTGTTCTCATCTCGCCCGAGAGATTAGTGATTAATCACGACAATGGTTTCTAGTGATACTTAGACGGCGGTAAGTGGCGGCTACTGTCGGTAGCGGCGGTTATGTAGAATACGTAAGAAAAAACTACGGCATAATAATAATAAATTTATAATTATATTATAAATGTAATGAGAGAATCATATAATCGTAATGATATCGCAACACACAGATCATGCGCACACTAAACACGTATCTCAAAACTAGTCAAGCAGAACTAATGACTGCACGAGCTTTCCCAGAAAGTAAAAATTAAACAAAATCAAAGGCAAGAGAGGAGAGAAAAATCATACGCAATCACACTGAAATCAATCCAACTGAAAAAATTAATTGCCAGTCTGCCAGTCGTGCGGAGTCGTTGTACGTGCGGACTCTCTCAAATTTTGACACGCGATTAATCCTAGAACTCGACTGTGGAGTCGAACACAGTTCCAATCCGAGAGTATTTATATAATTGCTTGCAATGAGATTACACACCACCCCAAATAAATATTATGAAGAAACGTTCTTCATAAGGAGGGAGAATATGACGTATGACATTTAATTTCTCTATATATAGAACAGCCCACATAAACGTTAATCAATTGTTATATTATAATAATTTGATGTATAATTTCATTGTTCTAAATAATATATAAAAAAAAAAACAGTTTTTTAACTCTCTAAAAAAAAAAAAAAAGAATTCTAAAATATAGCGCAATTTAAATAATTCGCTGTAAAAATGCAAATAAATTTTAGTTTTGCAGAATATATACAGCGATCTCTTGTCAAAGGTTTCGCGGCTCTACTATTTTAAGTTCGCGCTGTTAGATAGAGTCGGGAGTTCTAGAACTAACGGTTCCGGATCCCCCCGTGTGAAATTCTTTGGCTCGCGAAAGAATATCGTACGGATGCGAGTCGCGAATGTTGTCGATTCAAACAGGAAAATGTCTCTTCGCGCCTTGTCTGTCCAGGTATTCTTTGATAAAAACGGATTTTTCCCCCTCTCTATCGCAAAGGTCCACTAGCAAGGACCGTATAGTTCTTTCATCGCGTTTCTTATGCATTATACTCGATTAATCTTTTTTTCCCCCCGACAGCCTGATGGATCGGCGAGCTAGTTCAAGTACTCGAGTTTCCTTAATCGCTTTATTGTTCCTCTCCCTCTTCCTTCCATCGCGTTCTCCTTATCATCTCCTTAGAACGTTTATTATCAACTTCCTCTTCGAAAAAAGTCAGATCGCAAAAAGGACATGTGAAAAAAAGTTTCGTCTAAAATTATTATTCATAAATTACCCGACGTATATTAATTAATGCAAACTCAGTGAACGGTTCTGGTGCTCCGATTGCAGGCATTCAACGAGGTACAAGTATTACATTCGTATTCGCGTGTACGCGATTTACGAGTCGCCACGATTCTAATCGCGGCTGCTCGCCTCTTAATATCGACTTTTCTCTTTCGTTACCGAGCTTTGCGTGTGAATAGTTGGCAATTGAGGGCAGTAGCACTCTTATACCTGTCTCGCTACCTTATAGTCTCATGTTCATAGTCAGATATCTGTTCGATAAATTGTTTGCGCTCGAATCGACGTACGTATATATATGTAGATAGGGAAGCACATTCCTTTTTTTTTTAATTATCGCTATAATATAATCCCACATACAAAAGTTCGTAAATTGCAAGAATCTGACGACTGAACATCTCGTCAGTGACTTATAAACCTATAATATCTTAACTCTCGTTTAAGAATGTAGATAAATCTGAATATCTTTAATTATTAAAATAAAAATTATAACTGAGATACAATATACGTTATCGTTTTGGTCACGTGAGTTTTCTCGCACCACGATGAACAACAGGTGAGCGCACCCGCTACTTACAAGAGTTCACCCAAAGGAGTATACAGCCTTAGCACAATCCGGGGAAAAAAAAAAAAAAAAAAAAAATAAGAAGAAAACGTACCAGTACGTTTACACTAACACAGTGAGCGCATTTAACAAATAATAAGCATAAATATACACTTCGCTTCTCCTTTTCTCACGCGCTTCTCTCTTCTTATAAAACCCTACTTAAACGCTATTTTGGAATGTACCGGTGAGTCGATTTTTTTTCCCCCTCGGCTCTTCGTTGTTGTCGATCCTTTTATTACACTATAAGTGGGTATAAATGAACGACACACAATTGCGCGTGTATGTGTGTGTATGAATGTCGCGCGATTAACTTTCGCCGTCGTGTCTCGCGCGAATATCTTTTAAGCTTCGAGTATCCGTGAGATTCGCGTTGATTTTTCAGATCAGATTCGAACGAAACACGAGATTCGCAAGGAAATCACGAATGATTGTGTGTTATATTAATAGAGCGTGTGTATATATCTCTTTCTCTCTCTCTCTCTCTCTTTTTCTTTCTTTCTCATCCATCGTGGTGTCTCCCGCTTGTACTGTCGACGAATTCGCCTCGTCTTCGTTCACGCGTGCGTTTACGACGGTTCACGAGGATTAGCGCGAATGCGAGGAGTAAATATTCCTTACGACGACTCTAAATGGCTAGAGATAGAAGCATTACTGCTGCGGTAATGGTGGCCACGGCGATCTTGCAAGTATCACCAGCAGCAGATAATAATATGTAGTCCACAGTGTTGCCCGCAGATTCTGAATGGATAAAAAGGCTCTGTGTAAAAAAAATCTTTTCCGTCTTCCAGTCGAGAGAGAGTTTCGTCATCGCGTAAAAAAAAAAAAAAAAAAAAAAAAAAAAAAAAAAAAAAATTGAAACGTCTCTACACTATATGTTCCAAGTTAATAATCCATTATATAAAGTAAATTTAGAAGAATAATATTTTCTCGTTTATAATCTCGAAACTTTCATGCCTGAATATTTTTAAACAAAATATTACTTCAGTATTTGACAGCTGATCAGCTGTATGGGAAAAAAAAAAAAAAAAATAAATAAATAAAAATAAAAACATTGTAACGTCTCTACGAAACCCGTCGACGGTCATCGGGTAGGTTTTAGCTAGTTGATGTCTTGCGTAAGGGTCAAGGAATTTGAGGACTTCTTCAAATCCTATAACTTTGATTAACGCCAGAATGGCCGTGGGGTATTGTTACTCTCGCAGAAACATTCCATTTTTTTATGTATAAAAGATAAAGATTGTAACGTGCAAAAGTATAACACTATCTATCGAAATTGATATCTCGAATATTAATGTAAAAATGGTTTATATTCCTGTAAAACGTGCGTTTTATATAAAAAAAATAAAGACCATTATGTTTACTTTCGGATAAATTTCTATGAAAAATAATAATATATATTTTTGAAGGATAAAAGAGCAAGCAAACAAAATCATTTAGGCCTTTCTGGCGATAACAAGATCTTTTCGTCGTCAACAAAGAACCAATTAGAATTACTAGAGAAAAATAAAAAGTAATTTAACTGAATGAAAACATTTTAGGCGAGGAAAGGAGAGACCTCAAATTACCCTTTCCCATCTTCCTCGAATAAACAAAAATAGGGGCGACAAACTGACAAACGATTTAAAGATCGCGAAGAAAAAAAAATATCATTCGGTGCAGTAGCTTCGTGCACATATATAAATATATATTTCAAAGGGAATTATATATCTCGAGTAGAAATGATTAAGAGAAATATAGATACGTCATGGCAGTAATTACGTTGGATCGTAGGAACACAGAGAAATCAATTGGCGAAGGTGGTGACTTACCTCTGGTCGTCCTGAACTTGGCGGATCCGGGTTTGCTGTAGCCCATTATGTTGTGAGCTTGCAGCTCGACCCTGTAAAAGGTATCGGAGCTCAAGCCCTTCAGATACAGCCTCGTCCTACCCTGGCTCTTGACTTCCTGACAGGTATCGTCCAACATCTCCCATTCGCCCGAAACCCGTCTTATCTGGCAGTACTTGATCAGATACATGTCGATGGGCTCGCCATTGTCAGGCGGTGCGAGCCAACTGAGCTCGTACTGGTTATTGAACGCCGACTGCTCGTACTCGGAGCCAGGCGTAGTCAGGATCTTTGGCTGGTTTGGCACTGTCCTGCCGGGTGTGGTCTCGTGCTGCTCGCCACCCCAGTTACCCAGACCGACATCGTTCATCGCCGCGAAGCGGAAATCGTAAGGCGTCTGCGGCTTCAAGCCCTCGACGACGTATACAGAACCTGAAGTACGAGACATTGGTTCCGTCATTATAAAATAGTTATTTAGCACATAGATTACTCAACATTTATTAATTTTCTCATATTGTCCTCATGAATGAAACTAAAGTTCCATGTTCCTTATTAACTTATCATTTACATATATAAGAGCAAAAAGATTGTAACAAGTGTCTTCAGGCGTATCTGAATTATCTACCTCGTTAATTCAGATAAGATTAGTTATGTGAATTCATTAACGTATATCTGGAGAGGAGAAATTAAAATATCGATTCTCAAATCTCTCAAACTTTTTGATTTTAATTTAGTAGCCCATTAAAATTGAGAAAGATATATTTTACATTTTCCTCCTTCCCCAAAAAGAAACTTACCGACAGACCACGTCCTGTTTTTCGCATTTTGCCAGATCTGATTATTATCCTTGTACTGCACGCTGATGGTTTCGACGGGTAGATCCGGATGCATCGGTGGTATCAGATCGAATTTTATTGACGTGGCGGTGAGCTCGACTGTTTTGACGCTTACGAGCTCGGTGGGCTTCGTCGCCTCCTTCAGCTCGATTATGTGTTCTCGCGTGCCGTGGATATTCGCGGCGATGCACTTGTAGTTGGTGTAGTACCTCCGATCGGTCGGCCGTATCTGAAGAATGGAGGTCGGTCCGTCGCCAATCACCTGGATCGTGATATCGTCTTCGACTCTCCGGTCACCGTACATGGTCCAGCGTATCGTCGCGTTCGGTATGCTCTCGGCGACGCAAGTGAGGTTCACTGGCCGCTGTTCCCACGAGTAGATCGTAATGTTCGGCATGTTGCGGAAGGAGGGCGGGAACTCGACTGTCAGATGGCCGTTCTTGTAGGCGACGCCGCCGGCGTTCTTCGCCACGCATTCGTACAGACCGTCGTCGTTGGTGAGAGCGCTATGGATCGCCAGGACGCCGACCGTCTCGCCGGACACGTCGTCCGCTCTGTTCGTCATGATTATTCGATCGTCCTGCGGCTGAGCGCCCATCAGGTATTGCTTATTGAGTTTCTTGAAGGTCACCTCGGGAGGCGGCCGGCCGAAGGCCTTGCATATAATCTCTTTGTTCTTGCCCTCCACCACGGTCTTGTTCTGGAACTCCATGATCTTCGGTTTAACGATTACGTTCACCTGGATGTTGGTGGTGACTGTGCCGGCAAGATTTGTCGCGGTGCACTGGTATTCGCCCGCATCCTCGCGGTTCACATTGGTGATAGTGAGCACACCCGTGACCGGATCGACGCCAAAGCGATCGGCAATGGAGAGATTTTGCTGAGTGAGAGACTTGATCCATGTGAACGTTGGCGGCGGTTTGCCAGTGGCCTTGCACTCGATATTTGCATTCTCGCCCTCAGTGATATCTATCGGGCTCGAAATCTCCTCGATCGATGGTCGTGTGTGTACCTGTATAAGAATTATTAAACAAGATTATGCGGAGATTTATCAGAACACGCTTAAAGATATAAATAGGCACATAAATTCATCTAGATTTATTTTCGCATTTATTTAAATCCATACTAAATCTATTAATGTGCCTTAGATAAAATTATTAACAATAAATTGAATTTCAAAAAATGTATTAGCAAGTGCTGATAGCATAAAGGAAATAATAATACACAACAATTATAATCTTCGCAATGAAAAGCGTAAAAATAATAATTACTTGATTTGTAGAAATATTTATGCAATTTTCGTTTCTGATTCATGCAATTTTTTTTTCTTTTATTTGTACACGCTATTTAGTTAAAATATTAATTGTAATACCTCAACGCGGATAAGTCGCTCTTGCAATTCTCCTGTGGTCTGCACTGACGCACGACAAGTATATATGCCGTCATCGGATTCTTGTACATTATTGATCTTCAAGGAGTATGCGTTTATGACATAGCGATCGTTCGTCTTTATCAATTCCCCATTGTAAAGCCAATCGACTGAGGGCGAAGGCCTAGCGCGTACTCGACACATAATAGAAAAGTCCTCCCCGAGAATGGGATATTGATTTACCGGCGCGTCGTCCCACGTGATCGCAACTGTTGATAACAAATTAAGTTTTCTATTAAAAGAAAAAAAAAAAAAGCTATTCGATTAAACATCGTAGTCCTGTTTTCCCCGGAAGAAAAATGTGTATAGTGTTTCATTAAATTGAAATCTTTTTCTAACAAAAAAAAGCTATTTTTCATCGACTGTTAAAAATAACTAAATTATATTATCTAATACTTAATTTTTTTAATTGCCACCTTACCGGAAAGTTACACATAGCTTCCAATAGAATTTTAACCGAAAAATTTTGTTATCGTTTTTTTTATAGATTTTTATGAATATACTATATACGTTCTCCGCGGATCGTTTCTACCTTCGTGAAATTAATTAAGCGCTATTCGATATCACTGGGGATGCTTCGTATATCGGAATACAATTTATTTCTCTCGGAAATTAAAATTCTACCGCGCTTTTCTAATACCATACTTACTAATGGTATCGATCGTCACTGATTTGTTCAACGGCTGGTTTTGCGCATAAGTACCCTTGCAGGTGTACTTGCCAGCCTGCTCCTCCTGGAGAGAATTAAAGAACAGGGACAGACTATGATCCTGGTGCAGCTCGGTGTACATGGCAGGCTTGGAGTGACCCGTGTGCGTGCTGTGAAGAATAACGTCATGGTTTTCGGAAAAAAAATTCGCAAAATATCCATCTTAAACGACACACGAAGGGATCGATAACGATCACACCGAGTGGCGATATTAGCGATATCCTTCGTGGATGACGCGAGGATGACGTGTCAAGGAGATCTGGGATCGCATCCACGTGACCTCGTTTTATGCAATGTTGCATAGTAATATAGACGGTGCAACGTATCGGCGGATGATGTGAGCACAGGTGAGAGATATGATGTATTCAAGCAATTTCCATATAATATGCCGAGCGATGAGAGATGCCGGATGTAATATCGCGCGGGACATCGACGATGAAGGTTACGAATATGGATATTGCGGATTATGAAGGTGACACGAGATGACAGAGGCGCACGGCTCCTCCGCGGCACATTTCCGTCCTCATAGAGCGGAAAATTATTACAGCGCTTAAAATATGTCGAATAAGAAACATGAGAAGCACTGAACAACACGTGGCATCGAGAATGAGTAAATATTAATTTATCGTGAAGCAGCCGGAGTGTATTGTAATGATGATCGTGATGCGCGAATGCAAGACACGCAGGATGCAAGACATCGCGACGAGAAAGGAGACAGTGTGAGAAAGTCATTGGACATCGACGATGAAGGTTACGAATATGGATATTGCGGATTATGAAGGTGACACGAGATGACAGAGGCACGGCTGCTCCGCGGCACATTTCCGTCCTCATAGAGCGGAAAATTATTACAGCGCTTAAAATATGTCGAATAAGAAACATGAGAAGCACTGAACAACACGTGGCATCGAGAATGAGTAAATATTAATTTATCGTGAAGCAGCCGGAGTGTATTGTAATGATGATCGTGATGCGCGAATGCAAGACACGCAGGATGCAAGACATCGCGACGAGAAAGGAGACAGTGTGAGAAAGTCATTGGAGAAGATTGAATGGAGAAGACGGCACCGTCTCGTGACAGTCTGTCGATTATATACAAAGCGATTCAAAAGTCCCGACAGAAAATTCTTATCTCGATTATTCGCACTTTTTCATTCTAATGAATGGCACATGTGAGTTCTCTCCAGCTTCATCTATTCTCGAGGTATCAATTTTCGTAAACGAACTTGTAACAGACGCTATCGAGAACATAATTGAATGGTGATATTGCTCGAAACGAGACGATTTCGTCCGGAAATGTCACGCGCGGCACTCTTGACGACGAAGGTACTTAATTATGCAAATCGGGGGTTCGAGTAATCGTGCAAACACGCGACACGATGAATCAGTTACCGGGGTTAACGTTCGTTACATTATTTGATCGCTGGATTAAATACTTGCAGCGCGAGCGACCCGCGGTACATATATTAGCTATTAGCGATATTATGGACAGACTTGCACGAACAGTATAATGTACAAATGTTGCAAATGCTGTTTGAAATGGGATCTTTGTAGAACTGCGCCATCGCGGAGCTGCTTAATTGCCGTGTCCCAGAAAGTTCATATTTCATTTTTAATTCCTCGGGCTCGGGCGATTTAATCAAAAAGCTCGTTAACATAACGTGAAAAAGAATTAAAAATACTCTACAAATAATATTTCTTTTTTCTGCAGTTTTTTATAATTTCAGAAAAATCTTACTCTTTAAATTATAAAAGGGGGATTGTAAAAGAATTAATATAAGAAAAAAGGATTAAAATATTCGACAAATAAAATTTCTACAAGAGGCAAATAAACAGCAAAAAAATATTTTTTGTAAATAATTTTAAAAAGATTTTAATTTTCGATGATGAAAATTATAAAACGCGATTATAGAAAATTAAAAAAGAAATTTTATTTTGTTTTCATTCGAAACAAAGTCGGGAAGATTTTTCACAAAATCCGCATCGGAGAAAAGCACGATTGTTCCAGGTTACTCTATATACACGAACGAAAATTTCGTTCACCAACGAGTTTTTTTTTCTCCCCGGGCCAACGAGTTTTTCCGCTTCGAGCATTCAATAAGTCAGGTTCGAACCGTTCGAAACTTTTCCGAACGGCTTAACGAGCGATAGCCAGTTCGCGAACAGCGATGCGGCAATTAAGAGCTCCGTAAGCACCAGGCTGCGGAAAACATCGTGGCTGCATCGTGGGAAAATAATGGTGTCGAACACGGAGCGAAGTGATGGTATATGAGTGTATCGCAGAGAGATGAAAATAGAAGGCAGAAAACGAGCACTACGATATATGATTGCACGTTTAGATCTCCAATGAGTTTTTTATACTCGCCTTTCGATCGGCAAGACGACGAATCTGTGTTTGCGTTAAAGGAGTGACAGAAATTTCTCGAGTTAGTGTTATAAAGTACGCTTTTTTGTTTGCGCAAAAACGCAATGCAATATTCGTGTACCATTGAGTTAAATGCTTTTCTGTACTTTTTTAGTTAATAATTTTTACCTATAAAAACTATCGCGTCATTAATAAGAAACCACAAAGTTATCAAAAATACAGTTGTTATTATCTTTCAACATTTTAATCGCGTGATTAAAAGAATCTCTAAACTCATTACGACTTTCCATTAGATTTTCTTTCTCAAATAAAATAAAAAATTGTAGTATTCTAACAAAGTTTGACGTGAATATATATAAAATTTATTTAAATATATCGATTGATATGGCAGCAATTTGTACGCAAATATTAATAAAAAAAAAACAACAATTTAATTCATTAATCTTTTAATTATTCGTAAAGATTCCTCAGTAAAGAATGATTGCAGGATCGTTGCACCAACGGTGTGTTGTAGCTTACATCTCTTATTGATTGACCGTTATCTTTTCGAGAATCGATTACAATATAGATAGAGGAAAAAGCGCGCCGTTGGTGCAAGCGCTTCTGCGTCGTTTCGAAAATATCATTTATAAGCAAAAGAGAGCTGATATAATCGACTTACTTGAGAGACTCAATCACGCGATTCTGCGGATCGAGCCATTGCATGTCCTGGACGAGCTCCGGATTGTCCACCTTCGGTTTGCACGTGAGAAGGATGCTGGAGCCGATCGGCTTCGTCTGCATGTCGCCGCTTGGCAGGATCTCCAGGTGAGGATCTATCGCGTTCGCGAAAGCTGTAAAAGAGAAAAACCACCAACGGTCATTAGTCACCGAGAGCATGTGTGCGTTTGCGTGTTCAATAAGCGTAAAAGACGCCGGCGAAAAACACCGGTCTCGATGAGCGGCTAGATTGATTGCGCGTAATTCACCGATAATGATACGATTACAAGGCGTTTATTTTTGTAGACGTCGCGAACGCATAAATAACGTCCTTTAACGCAAAACAGTATGAAAACTGTGAGAACGAGCGCAGATGAGTAGAATATGATTACACACTTGCGAATCTCTTTCATTTTCAACGATGTTTATCCTAAGTGCCATGTCTGAACGTGTAATTTCTCATTTGCAATTAAAATACCGTTTTAAATTCTTTTGCAAGGGATCTTTGTAATTCATAGTTACACATACTTATCTTAAAATTTACTTATGTTATAATAAATATAAATTAATTTAAAAAATTAAATATTTAGTTTAATATATAAATTAAAATTTATTCTATTATTACAATTTAATTAAATTCTACTCTTAGCTATAAGAATAAATTATTGCATTTTTCAGTATATTATGATTTCACTTCATTCACGAAAAAAAAATGTATCCGCGCTTCTCGAAACAAAGAAAAAGTTTACCAAAACATTTTCACATTTCCAGATTTTCTTTTCGTGTCACAAACCCCATATTTTATCACATTAATTTAATTTAAATAAATTAAACAAAATTAATTTTTTTAAACCACAATCCAAGACGAGTAGATTAATCCGCGCAATTACGGCCTTACCCACGCGGGTGGGACGAGATGACACCGTCTCCGACGGAGACGGGGATGGCGGCGGCGCCGTCATCACGTAAATGCACAACACAGAGAGGCAGAGCGACGTCGTCTCGGCGCCCATGGTCGCTTCGCGTCGCATAACGCCTTCGGGGACGCTTTCGAGATGCGTGCGTGAACTATGACAACGGAATGCGAGCGTCGTCGGAATGCGTGTGATGGGCGCGCCCGACGTGGCGGCGCAACGGGCAGGCATAACAGGAAGCGAGAATTGAGCTAATTAATTGCGGTGAGCGAAAGTGCGGAATTGCCCCTAACTGGGAAACGCTCTCCGCGATCTCCTCTTCCTCTCGTCATCCGGACGCGAGCTGCATCAGCGTCGTAATGCAGAATAGATGTGCACGCTCGCGTTCACAGCTCTCTGTGCCAATTCGGCGAGCTCATTAGCTCGTTAACTTGGCGTACGTAAAGCCCTACCGGCGGCCTCTACCTGACGAATGGAAATAACGGCCACAACGTGGGGAATCATAATCGAATTTACGACGAGCCAGCTGCAACGGGCAACTATTCGTTTAAGTACGCGAGAGTTTCTCGTAACACGTGGAAAAAGCGTCGATTTACGATTGGATACGGTTAATTACGGGACTTTAATGCGCGATAAATATCTATCAATTGCGACTAACGATCGTCCAATTTTTCGTTTCACATCCTGATTAAGCAAAGCGATAACGGAATCGCATTCACGTCGTCAGCTGATCGCCGCTTCCCGCCGCCAGCGATTGTCAAATTCTGACAGCGCGCGAGCTGTCTCGACAATACGCGGGAGAAAAATCGAACGGCCAGTGAAAGAACGGAAAAAAAAATCTCGATTCGAGCGCACAATATGATGGGGGAGCCGTGTAATCGAAACACGGAGGCCAGCACAGTTCGCCTAAATAATTCTTTTTTCTTTCCACTCGCGCGCGGTACACGCGATGTAACAGTTGATCTCGCAAATATTGAAACTGCGGTGGATACTGCGAGAATAATTGAATACGGATTTAAAAAGCCGGGCTCTCGCGAGAGTAGACCGGTTTTGCGCTGACGCCGTGCTGCTGGCGCGAGCGAATTGCGTCCGACCCGTATAATCGACAATGGCACGAGAATTGATACCGCCACAATTTGCCGGCCGGAAAAAGTCAGCCTCTCGTTCTCTCGAAAGGCTTCTATATGCTTCTATATGCGCGCGAACCGCTATTAGTGAATATTACGAGAGTGACGTCAACAGAGACGAGTGGTATATTCCTGCGAAATTTATATAAAGATTTGTCGTAATTTACGTGACATCATCCTAAAAAGGATGCATGTTTAATTCTATTTTTCACATTTGTCAAATTTATTTTCAACGATAATTCTGAAATATCTTATATTCTTATTCTTTTCTTCTTTATTTTACCAAAAAGAATCATTATTTCGAAAGAATGGATACTGTGTCAGATAATATTCTAAAGTATTATTTCTGTTATTTAACTAATTGTATGCTGTTTTTAGAGCGCTTATTCTAGATATCTTTGAAATAAATTGCCATTTATTTCAATTAATTTTGACGCATCGTTATCTTCGGTGAAATTTATGCGAGATGATTATTTCATCGCGAATAATGCAAATATATCTCTCGAGAAACCGGGAGTCGTTAATTCTTGCAACAGCTCGAGCGCAAGGACGCGGAAAGGTTACAAACCTTCCTAACGGACAAACTTCCTTAATTGGCCTAAGACTCATCGGGATGATGAGTTCTTGCGTGCGGTCAATTAAAGGATTTTGCTCGTGCACTTGCCGCAAATCTTGGAGGGAAAAGAAGGGACGGGGAGGGAGTTTAAGCCGCTTTTGCGACATCTTTACAAGTCTAATAAGCGTCTTATTGAATCTTACTACGTAGTGGACACGACAATCCTCTCAATCGACATATCAAATATCCGTAATTTCACAAGAGTTTCGCAATTTACTCTTCGATTTCAACATCTTTTCCAAAAAAATAAAAAAAATAAAAAAAAATACTAAATCATGCCTTTTATATAAACTAAAAAAAATGTATAGAATTTTAAGCATCTTTCGCTGAATAAATATTTCAATTAAGATTATAAATAAATATAAGTATTTAATTCTGGACGTGATTAATGAGATTCGCCATCTTTTTTCATGATTACCTAGTTCCGTAGCCATAAATATTAAACCGTTGTGCGATTGCACTGTGGCAAGAAATTAACATTCGCATCTCGACATTAGCATGCGCGATATTCAAGAGCGAAATCTCTTCTCTTCATTTTTCGGAAAATTTGCAGGTTAAGAGGCCGGGCTTGCAAATTGCGATAAGTTTCACGAACGGTAACGTTTTCGAGCTAAAGGTACGTATCGGGGATCCGCGGGAGGAGAGGAGTGGAGAGGGGGAAGGGGGTATGATGATAAGACGCTGCAACGCTCGCTTAATGCCGCTGGCATTTGCATCGCGGGGAGTTTGCTTAAACTTCGAACCGATGTGTTTAAATTCTCTTGCAATCCTTGCTAATTGTCTCCAATCGTGCAATAGACATAATCAAGAGTCGCGATCGTTTGATTAATGATTCTCTACTCCAGCTCTCAGGGAATATCCTTTCGACCCCCTCGATCACACGAGGGGGTCTCTCTGTCTCGAGATATCTAAATTCCTACAAAGGATAATATATAATTTTGACCAGCTGTGCCGTTTGTGAAGCTCACAAAGCGTACAACGACGGATCCCCGGTAGGTCTAATTTTGCTCTCACGACTCGAGCTTGCAAATTGCGTCATTTCCGATAAGAGATTTCATAATCAAGAAAGAGAGAGAGAAAGGAGGATCGCAAAGGATTACAACGTCCCCGGGAGCGTTGTCTCTCCGTCCGTAAGGACAGCTTATTTATTTGCCGCCCCCACGCTGTCACGAGACGCGTCGTTTCGTCCTCGCGATAAGACTCGCAAATTCATCATTTCCGGCTCGCTTAGGCGAAGAGGAGGACTAGAGGCGTGCAATCTAGGGTGAATTAAAGATTTTCCCATAGTCATTCGAGAGTTCTGAAATGTGACCCCCGCCGGCTTGCCAAAAGCGAGCAGACGGTCCCCCTCGAACAATGGCAAGACATAAATCGCAATTATGTTTCCGGCGGACTGAACTTGTACGATATTATCTATCGCTGGCGAGTCAGCAACGAGATGAAAATACGCGATCAAATTATGGGTTACATGATGTTTTAGATTGTTGCGATACAGAGTTAATTATATTTTTTTCTACAGCAATTGCACCCTTGTATACATACGTCATATTTCATTATGTACCTTAATACATCTGTCCTATAAAGTAATTTCTCTAAATATATCTATTTTCTTAAATAAGTACATGTAATATACGTCTGACTCGAAACATATTTCTTTCGATTCTCAGATTTGTATGTAATTATTTTTATAAATACCGCGATCAATTTTAATTAATTGCAAAATTAAACCTTAATAAATTAAATTACAGTTTAATTATCTGCGCAATAAATAGTGCTATGATTAAAAAATAAATACATATTAGATATAATTTACAGTTATTAAAAAAATGGCCATAGTTTGGATTAAAACTTCTTCCATCTTATATAAAATCGAGAATTTGCCACAGTGATTTAGCATAAAAAATAGAGACGTATGGAAAATTCTGTATTGTTTCCTTATTTATTCAGAAACGTGATTTCGTAAAAAATTACCGTCCGTATACAAAGGAGAAACGCTGATATCACGATGGAATATTGTTGCCGCGAAAGGATACGCTATCATTAATTGCTCGTTAATGCCGTATTCAAAGTGCATCCGTCATTACACGCGGGAGAGAAAATTCGCTTGTTCATCGTCGGAACGCGCCATTACGTTGTCGTACGAAACTCATTCGGCGTGAACCCGTGCGCCGAAGAGAGCAACAATACGAGGAGGGTTGTTCCTAGGGATCCCCATCCCCGGCATTCACCCCCCATCCCCTTCTTCCTCCTCCTCCTCCTCCTCACCCTCGAGTACGCGCGCGCTCGGACAGATTCTATAATCGTTTCACAAATTCGCCCGAGTCACCGGGCACCGCGCACCCCGCGCTTCTTCTCACCCCCTCCGCGTTTACAACGGTGTACCGCACCAGCCATTATCCACCCCTGAGACTCGCAAATTCATCGTTTCCGGAGCGCGTACCGCGGCGTTCATCCGTGGGGGAAGGATACACGGGGGA